GGGTTTGAACCGCCAGCCTTCTGGTTAGCAGTCAAGTGCCTTAGCCATTATGCTACCAGAGCTCCCGTTTTGTATAGTATAGTTTTGTATAGTATGTTATGCCAGTTGAGCTTGATGTCCCCTACGACTATGGTCCCAAGCCCGCAGGTTCAACTATTCAGTCCCTCTGGGTAGCTGGCTGTGACCAAGCACTGACTACAGCCTTGCCCCTTGTCAGCGCTACTGTACACCTATATACCTGGGAATTCTGATCATTTCACATAAAGTTATAGGACCATTGTCTGCCAACCCTATATATATTCTTGGATACACTCCCCATTTCATAGACAAACATAAGCATTCAGCCTTTCCACCCATCTATCCACCCATATACCCATGTTATCATTCTCTGACAACGTAGTACTGTATGTACAAAAGGGTTCATATTTGTTGTCTGTACTCCCATGTACCTCTCTATGTTTTTCTCATCCTCAATGCTGCCATATTGGTCACTCACATTTGGTACATTGCCCTTCTCTTCACCCAAATCAGTACTTATCTCTATCTAACAGCATTCCCTCCCCTCCCCTCCCACCCCTGGTAACCAACAAAGAAAATTTCCTTCTATAGATAAACCTTTCCTTAACTTTTACAATAACGGACTAATACAATATTTGTCCTTTTGTGATTGACTTATTTCACTCAGCATAATGTCTTCCAAGTTCATCCATGTTATGTGGTGTTTTGCAGATTCTACATTATTCTTTAGCGTTGCATAGTATTCCATTGTGTGTATGTACCGTAGTTTGGGTATCCATTCCTCATTTGATGGACATCTAGGTTATTTCCATCTTTTGGCTATTGTAAATGAACATGGGCGTGCATTTCTCTGTTCTTGTCATGGCTCTCACTTTAGGGTATATACCGAGTAATGGGATGGCTGGGTCAAATGTTATTTCTAATTCCAAATTTTGAAGGAATCGCCATACTGCTTTCCACAATGGTTGTACCATTTGACAGTCCCACCAGCATTGTATGAGAGTCCCAATCTCTCCACAACCTCGCCAGCATTTGTTATTTTCTGTCTTGTTGAACTTTGCTACCATCTTGAGAGGTTTTGACTGAGTATTTTCTAATCAATACGGAAGGTAGTCCTGCTGAGGAAGAAACAAGAGCCTGGACTGTGTGTGACACTGTGGTGACTGGGTAGGTGGGAAGAGATGCAGACAACAGGGGAAAGGAGGTAGGACAGGAAATGGGTTTGGAGGGCGGGGTGGCCAACAAGGAGAGCCACCCCCGGAGGACGCAGCCCCCTCAGCCATCCTGCTGTCCTGAATTCCGCTGTGTCTGTGTGGTGGCTGGTGAATGAGTTGATGCTCAGACCTGGCCTGTGCTAGATAGACCTTATGCTTGGAGACTGTGAGAAATTTTAGGATACAAACATGCTTCAGTTTCCTGATTATCCTCCTTTTATAAAGGGTTAATCAGAGGGGGAAACATTTTGTCAGTAGACCACTGACAGCTGGAGTCTGATGCCCCTGAAGGGGGTTTTAGGACCCTAGTGTTCACTTGAGATGTTTGACCCACTCAGTGGTGGATGAAAACATAGTCTCCTAACATTTGCTGTATTACCTTTTTGTTTTCTTGCTTTTCAAACCCAACACCATTTCTGCTCAGTGTGGTGTTCTAACTTGAGAGGTGACCATACTGTACACTCTTGATAGGTTGTTTGAACTACCTGAGCCGGGAGGAGGCATGGGCAACAAACGTGCCCACCTTCTTGTTTCTCAGAAGTAGGGCTCCCTGATGGAGAGTCGGCTCACGGAAGGGACAGAACCGGATCACCGGGCGCTTTCTCAGCTGGGCTTCCACTCCCCTGTGGTGTGGGTACTTCACCGCCTCTTCTCTCAGTAGGAGAAGGAGCTGTGTCTATACCAAGGGGCACAAAGTGTGTTTCTTCTGGCCACTCAGCAGTGAATTGGACTGAGAATTAACTCTTTACAAAAGTGTCCTTTTGAAAGAGTAAATAGAATAAAATCCTTCATTCGCAGGGAAAGTTCAGGACTCCGTGGAGAGTTACCATATTTCTGTGGTTATTTGATTTGATCAAGTGACTCTATAAAATTACTTTAAATACTGATAGTGAATTTGAGAGAAATTAAAAATGTTAAACTTTTTTTTCGCAGCAAATCACTCATGCAAACAATACAGTGTTCAACTTTAAGAGGTTCCATGGCCGGGCGTTCAATGACCCCTTCATACAGAGGGAGAAGGAGAACTTGAGCTATGATCTGGTTCCGATGAAAAATGGTGGCGTTGGAATAAAGGTACTATCATTGAGCAACCTTAGATTCTGTAAAGATTGACAGCCTTGGAGACCCTGTGGTGTAGTTCCACTCTGTCCTCTAGGGGCGCTGTGGGTCAGAATGGACTCCACAGCAGTGGGTGTGGTTTGGGCTTTGCTTCTGTGAAGATTGACAGCCTTGGAGACCCTGTGGTGCAGTTCCACTCTGTCCTCTAGGGGCGCCGTGACTCAGAATCGACTCCACGGCAGTGGGTTTGGGTTTGGGCTTGGGTTTGGTGGATTCCTTCATACAGTAGGCTATTACCTTTGACTATAGAGAAGAGTCATTGGTTCTTCCTTGATCGGTCCCTGGGGTGGTGCAAGTGACTTGAGTTTGACTGTTAATCAAAGGGTGGGTGCTTCACAGCCACCCAGCGGTGCCAGCAGAGGAAAGGACTGGTGGTCTGCTTTTGTAAAGAAGACGGCCACAAGTTCCTGTGGAGCAGTCCCCCTCTGTGACTCGTGGGGTTGCCATGAGTTGGAGTGGCTTTGGTTTTTTAAATTTGTTTGGTTTTCATTTCTCTATAGAAAAAAGTGCTTCTTAAATACTTCTTTTAAATCAAACCAAACCCACTGTCATTGAGTCGATTCTGACTCCTAGCGACCCCCACTGGGTTTCTGAGGCAGTAAATCTCTACGGAAGTAGATTGCTCTGTTTTCCTTCTGCGGAGCAGTTGGTGGGTTTGAACTGCCAACTTTCTGGTTAACAGTGTCTTAGGCACTGTGCCACCAGAGCGCCTTACAAAAAGACCATCACATCCAATGAAGACACGTGAGGTAAGTATGTATCACCTCACGTGTCTTCATTGGACATGATGGTCTTAACTGTTCTTAGCTTTTTTTCCATCCAGGTGCTTTTTAAACTTTAGGGTGTGAGAGGTATGTCTCAAATTGTGTTTAAAAATTATTCAAAGGGTAATGTATATTTCTGTGACCTAATTTGTGTTTCTTCCAAGCTTTTTGGCTATTGTAAAATTAGGCATAGTTGACAGTGTGTGCTTTTTGTTTTTTGTTTTGTTTTGTTTTTAAAGATGCAGTACAGGTTAAAACACAAATGAGTTATGACATGTACAGATGAATCAGAAAAGGGTCCAGCTGAAGAAAGAAAACGTAGTAGAAGGTTTCATGTAACTTTCTATTATTTGTTTAAATCTAGTCAGTAAATAAAAATTTTTGGCAACTAATAAAAGAAAAGTCTGAACTACGTCATCCCGTTGGAAGTCTGCTCCAAAGCCAGCCCCTCACAGTTGTTGGGGGAGTAGTCGTGTGACTGAGCCAGAAATCTCTTTTCAGACTAGCAGAGGCATGTCTAGTGAGAGAGTCTGTCTGTCTAGTGAGCCGCAAGTGCAGACAGACTCCCTCCTGCAGAGTCACAAGCAGCGTGTTGGATGGGGGAGGCCACCCAGCCTTCTCTTCCCTCCCTCACGTTCAGGGAGAAGTTCTTTTTTCTTTCTTCCTTCCTCCCTACACCACTGTCGCAATGAAAAGTCCTGGAGGAGAACGTGTCAAGGTGTTGGGGGTCACCGATGGCTTGGGGCTTCCAGTGCTGTGGTGTTAAGGCATCTCCCCTCCATTCCCCCACCGCAGGTGATGTACATGGATGAGGGACATCTGTTTAGCGTGGAGCAGATCACGGCCATGTTGTTGACCAAGTTAAAGGAAACTGCTGAAAACAATCTCAAGAAACCAGTCACGGACTGTGTCATCTCAGTGAGTAGTCGCAGCCTGACAGGGTTTTACTCTCATCTGCTGCCTTTCTGCTGCTCTGAAGGCTCAAACGTGGGGACACTGTGCTGTGGGTGAGAAATGCTTGCCCGGACCATGTGATGTGTTGGCGCATTGTCGGGAGTGGCTGTCGGCGGACAAAGGTCCCTTGCTGTGTGTGACATTAGGAATCTCCCGTGGGGCTTTTGGAAATGCAGACTGTCTGGTCCCATGGGAGGACACTCTAGGGCAGACACGGTCAGACAAGCTGGGCACCTAGACAGCTGTGGGGGCAGAAGAGTCCTCGGTGGAAAGCCGGGCCATTGAAGTAAGGTAGTGGCCTACCAGCGTTGACAAGCCCCAGATTGGTATCGTAGGCAGGCAACGACCCCCAGCCTTCTGTGGGCACCTGCTGGTAGGTTAGCAGGAAGACCTAGAATTGGCCAACAGCCATCTTGCATTTGGATGTGGAAATGTTAGTTGCAGGGTCTGTTTTCTCAAATTGCCAAGGTCACCTGCTCTGTGATTTGGCTGTGGTCGTGTCCCCACCGGAGCTGGCCGTGAAGGCCTGGGCTCCAGCGTGGTCTTGGCCGTGCCACGAGGCCCACACAAGCCAGTAGCCTGTCCGTCACTGGTTCCTCTGACATGAATGACAGGAACACTGAAAACTTAGGAAGGAGGTGTTCCGTTAGAGAGGCGAGCAGAGACCCCACTTTGCCCTTGTCTCTGCAGCACCTGGAGCTACTTTGGGAAAAGTCTGAAAGCCTCTGGACTCAGTGTTCTGGTGGCGGCACGTCCCTGCAGTGCCAGAGGGCATGGTGGTAGACGGCGTCTCACTGAGACGCTGCTAGAAAAGCGGGCAGGAGGAGCCACGGAACTAGCGGCACACAGCACCGTGGCGGCCTCTGTCCTCGGACCTGTCCAGGGTGCTGCTGGGCTGGACAGCACCCTGGCTTCTGTTGTTGAACTCAGTGAATAGAGAATCGAAGGGCAGTGGCCTGTGCCAGAGTTAGCTCTATTTGTTCATAGTTTAATTGTACAGTGACACCTCTGAGAACCAGAGCTCAATGAGATCGTCTCGTTTTTCCAAGTCTCGTAGGTTTCCACCTTTGACAGGACACGTGCAGTCTTAGCAGTTTCCTGTCACTCATTTTAGTGGAAGACATTTGCATTTTCCTTCTGTGATAGGTTTCCTTCCGCCTTACCCTGGCTTCAGCTTCTGCAGGTTTTGTTATACTTAGTATTAAATGTTGACTTTTATATCCGCAAGCGTTGGTAGAAACTTGAGAATAGTTCAGAGACACCAAAATACCTACTTAAAACTTTGTTATTAAACTTGAGTAACTTTCTATAGTTTTACAAGTGTGCCTGATCCCTTGGAAATACCAGCTTAAAATTTGTTTATGGTAAAGAGTGCTTTGATACTGTGGTTTGGAGAAGTGCTTCTCAAAAGTACTGTTAGCTTCCGCAAGTGTGAGGAGCTGGCCAACGCCCAGGGCCTTCTCCCTGTTTCTGTTTGGTGCCTTGACCAAGCACTTCCTTAGCTGGCTCGTTGTGAGCTGATTAGAAGTGGTTGTGAGGGATATGGACCTGTTTTCTAGAGGAGGTACCGTTTGACCCTCTCTTGTCGACTTGGTCTGCAGGTCCCCTCCTTCTTCACAGATGCCGAGAGGCGATCTGTGCTGGACGCAGCGCAGATCGTAGGCCTGAACTGCTTGCGGCTGATGAATGACATGACTGCAGGTAAGGAGACGCTGCCCACACTAGAGTCACGCCAGGTGCCGTCATCCAACGCTTTCATCACGTAGGTGGAGAAACACAGTTTACTGGGGGAAACAGTGTTAGGTTTGAAAGCAGAAACCTCAGCTCTTCCTGTGCCGCGATGGTAGTGCTTTGTCAGCTTTGTGACGCCGTCTTCATTGGGGGGTGCTCCGTACACGTCTTTAGTCCTGTGAGTGCAGTGGGTTGGATTGTGTTGTTGAATTTCTTAGTATTGCTTACACAGTTAACAAGTTTTCTAAGAAAACTTGAGAATGCTGAGGTTTCTCAATTCCTTGATTTTTGATTTTTTCCTAATACAGACCTTGGACTCTAGCTCAGGGTGGGTTGTTGACCAGCTGTTGGTTAAGCTGGGACTACCCGCCAGCATGGGGCTGGGTACCACGAGCTGTAGTGGTGAACAGAGCAGTCAGTCACTCTTCTAGAGTCCATACCAGTTTATGATGAATGAAACAAAACCCAGAAGTGTTACCATTGACTCAACTCTGAGTGGAACTGCCCCATGGAGTTCCCAAGGATGGCTCAAGGAAGTCCTGGTGGCACAGTGGTTAAATGCTCACCTGCTAACTGAAAGGTCGGTGCTTCAAACCCATCAGTGGGTTTCAAAGATGAGGCAGTCAGCTTCTGTAAAGATGACAGCCTTGGAAACCCTGTGGGGCAGTTCCACTCTGTCCTCTAGGGGCGCTGTGGGTCAGAATTGGCTCCACGACAGTGGCTGTGATTTGGGCTTTGCTTCTGTGAAGATTGACAGCCGGGGAAACCCTGTGGGGGAGTTCCACTCTGTACTGTGTATTGCTGTGAGTCGGAATCAGCTTGATGGTGATGAAAGTGTGTGTGGAAGCAGACTGGAGCATCCATTTCTCTGGTGGAATGTTTGGTAGGTTCTAATCTCTGCATTTGGGTTAGAAGGTGAGTGCTTAAAGGTCATACTGTGGAAGCTCCTTGGTGATAAATACACATGTGCAAAAAGCAGTTACAATCTAGTGATTTCAGGCAAAGAGGAAAAAGTTTATTCAGTGTGATTTTTGTGTTTCTGGTAGATTTTGGGGGAAACGTTGGAAATTAAGTATTGATAAAGGTATGTTCTTAGGTGTGTAAAATGAGTTTTAAAGCTCTGAAAAATAGAACCCAGCCTCTTCAAGGCCAGTGAAATATTTGCCTTGAACTTAAACACAAAGAAGAAGGTGGGAACTGCAGTTGGCTGTGGTCATGTATTGAGTCCGTAACTTCTCTGTGCAGTCTCCTAGCAGGTTGGGTTAGGGTGGAATTACCACGTGATGAGTCTGATTATCGTTTGATGGTGCCCTATGGGCCTAAAAGGGTTTTTTTTTGGTCCCTTGCATCCTCCTGTGTGGAAAACTGAGAGAGAGCAGTGTTCTGGACCCAGAAAGGGAGAAATTCTGGAGCCCCAGCAACTCCTGTATGAAAACCAGACCAAACCAGAGCCCCTGCTGTGGTGGATTCTGACTCCCAGGGAACCTCTAGGACGGGGTAGAACTGCCCCACCTCTCCCCTTGGAGCAGCTGGCAGGCTCAAACTGCTGGCCTTTCGGTTAGCAGCCCAGTGCGTTGCCCATGCTACCACCAGAGCTGCTGATTCGTGTGAAGCCAGGTGTAGAAGGAAGGTGTTCACCTGTAATTGTTCACATCCAGTTAGGTTTCCTGCATGTGTGATGATAGGGAAGAGGAAATTGCCAGAGAAGAGGTGAACCAACAGACTGAAACATGTTTCTCTTTTGTAGTTGCTTTGAATTACGGAATTTATAAGCAAGACCTTCCAGGTCTGGACGAGAAACCTCGGGTTGTGGTTTTTGTTGACATGGGACACTCGGCGTTTCAGGTGTCTGCCTGTGCCTTTAACAAGGGGAAGTTGAAGGTAAGGTCCCGGACGCACAGTCAGGCCTCACACAGGGCACGAGGTAACGTTTGTCCTGATGACGCTCGGCCTTGGCATGAAGCCTTTGCTGAGGGTGATCCCTTGGAAGATGGCATTGTCGTCCTTCCTGTACTAAGTGTTCCCATCAGGGAGGGGAAGCTTGATGAGGGCATCTCCCCCAGAACTCCGCGTACCACGGAGGTGGGGAGTGCCTTGTGAATTCTGTGGTTTCGTTGCCTCCAGCTGTCTTGGAGTTTGCATTACTGATGAGAAATGTTAAGCTTTTTGGTCTTAAGTTTACATAGCAATGCTTAAGAGCCCAGTTATGTGTATGATTGTAGATAACCAGACTCTTTGTTGTTTTTACTAAATTAGGTCTTGGGAACAGCCTTTGATCCTTTCTTAGGAGGAAAAAACTTTGACGAAAAGTTAGTGGAACATTTCTGTGCTGAGTTTAAAGCCAAGTACAAGTTGGACGCGAAGTCCAGGATCCGGGCGCTGCTCCGCCTGAGCCAGGAGTGCGAGAAGCTGAGGAAGCTCATGAGTTCCATCGGCACGGACCTGCCGCTGAGCATCGAGTGCTTCATGGACGACAGGGACGTGTCGGCCAAGATGAACAGGTGCGCGCTGGGCCGGCCTCGCCAGGACTAGCCCAGCCCACGTCCAGATCGGCGGTTGTTCTGGTTCCCTGGTGCCACTCTGACAGTAATAGACCACCAATGGGACGGCCTTAACAAACAGGAATTTATTCTCTCACAGTTTAGAGGCTTTAAGTCCAAGTTCAAGGTGCCAGGCTCTAGGCTGGGTGAAAGCCCCTCAGCCTTGGGCTTCAGCTCTGCCTCCTGCTCCCGGCCCACTGGAGCTAGAGGCGTTTCTTCACTCAGACAGCTGCTGGCTGCTGAGGTTGAGAAGCCCCAAGGTTGACAAGTAAAAAGGCACAGTCCCAATGTTACCAAACCACACAGCAGGCCATTAATTTAAGTCCATTGTAAGTCCCAAGGTCGGCAGAGCATGGCAGGCTGCTGAGCAATGACACGGCTACATGCAGGGTCCAAGCGTGTCACAGGCTAGAGACCATTCCCAAGGCTTCTCTTTATATACAGGAAGCAGACAATGTCCCAAAGGCAGCCACTCAGCTGCTTGTGGTAGATCCCACCATGGAGTTGATTGCCAGTCTCCTCATGGGGAGTAACTGCCACCAGCTGCCCAGCCACTCAACCAGGCCCAGCCAAGTTGACACACAAACATAACTACCATAGTGACTGTGTGGCCTGAGGTGTGAGAGACCGTTACTGGTTACTGTAGAATTAATGGACGTGTCTACGAAGAGGATGTTATGAATGTATCTTTGCTAAGTGCACTCGTAGAGAGAGGTCTTCTTGGTGTTTGGCAGTTTTTAATCTTTCTTGACCAGTAATTGAATAACCAGAAGCATGACGGTGGCACAGTGGTTAAGCGCTCAGCTGCTAACCGAGAGGTGGTCCCGCAGGAAGAAGGCCTGGTGGTCTACTCACTAAAAATGGCAGCCTAGGGACAGGCCTGCTCTGACACAGAAGGTTGCTGTGAGGTGGAGTAGACTCCCTGGTTCACAGCAGCACTTCACTAATTGGTTCAGAGAAATCATTTTGAGACGTGATCGGAGACATGTATACTGAGAATTAGATCATACATGACACTCAGGAAGCGAATAGGCAAAAGGGATTTCTCCCAGGAGGGCCGGCGACCCTCAGAGAGAATGGGCGTTTCTCCCTATCCTTTTCCTGTATCTTTGTAGTCACATAGAAACAATGACAGAGTACAGAGAGCGGTCAGTGCGGGATCCAAGGTGCTGAGAGGAAAACAGTGAGTTGATGGATTCACTTTAGAAGGACAGGAAAAAATGAGTGGCTCTCAGGTACCTTTTCTGGTAAACTCTTCCTCATGTTTGCCAAGGTCGCAATTTGAAGAGCTTTGTGCCGACCTCCTGCAAAAGATAGAGGCGCCCCTTCGCACGCTGATGGAGCAGACGCAGCTGAAGGGGGAGGACGTGAGTGCCGTGGAGATAGTGGGAGGTGCCACGCGGATCCCAGCCGTGAAGGAGGCGATTGGCAGGTTTTTCGGGAAGGACGTGAGCACGACGCTCAATGCCGACGAGGCAGTGGCCCGGGGCTGTGCACTGCAGGTACACCCGCTGAGGCTGCCTGCCTGGTGGCGCCCAGCTCTTAGAGGATTCTACTCTGTCCTGTGGTGGTGGCTGATGTAATAGCAGCCCTGTGCCTAATTAGACAGCAAAAGAAAGTGAACTTGTAACTTCAGGGAAGGAGTCCAGTACATTAAGGTGGAGACGTGCGCCCACTCCTCACATAGCAACATGGTTAGGTTCCAGGGACCAGTTCGTTATGTGAGGATGACGCCGTCTTCTGTCTGCCACGTTATGTCACTGTGTAACTGCAAAACTGGTGGGCATCGTGGCCCGGCCATGTCAGCACACCACCTTGACCATCACAGGCAGCGTTAACCCTTGCCTCACATGTCAGCATCCGTTCTGACTGGATGGGTACTGTTAATGTGCAGAGCAGTCAGGTAGCAGGGTTGGTGGGTGACGAAGTGGTTGGGCAAGTGAGGAACAGGTGTACGGCTCTCAGCAGCCCAGAACCAGGAAGCTTAGTAAAGGAACAGCACTGAAACCATGTGATTGCTGACAACGTGATGATAAGTGTATGTTTAGGCGTCTTGGACAAGGGCAAAATAGTTTTTAACTAAAGTGTCAAGTTGACATGTTTGGATTTTGGTTTAGTTGTCAGTGTTTTAACAAAACGGGATTCTGTATACAAAGAAGTCGAGACTGGTCACTGTTGGCGTGCACTTGGTCCTCAGTGTCAGTCAGAATCCACCTTACCGTGATCCGTCATGTTTTACGAGGTTTCTGTTTCTGACCTTCAGAGGGAGGATGCCTCTCTGATTCCTGGAAGAATAGAAAGGTGACAGTTCTGATCTGTAGTTCACGCTGTTAGGTGGCGTTGAGTTGGTTACAACTTGCAGCGACTCCATGTCCAGCAGAATGAACCCTGCTTGGTTGGGCACCATCCTCAGAATCGTTGCCCATCGTTGCAGCCACTGTGTCAGTCTGTCTGGTTGAGAATCTGTCTCCTTTTCTCTGCCCTCCCCTTTCCCAAGTATGATGCCTTTTTCCAGGGATCAGTCCCTCCTGGTAACTTGACTAAAGTAGGGTAGACGGAGTCTTGCCATCCAAGCATCTAAGGAGCATCCTGGCTGTACTTCTTGCAAGACAGATCTGTTCATTGTTTTGCCAGTCCATGGTCCATTCAGTACTTGGCGAGGGACAGGCCATAATTCAAAGGCATCAACTCTTTCACAGCCTTCCTTATTGCCCAGCTTTCTCATGCCTATGTGACGATTGAAAACACCAAAGGTTAAGTCAGGTGCACCTTAGTCTTAGACATCTTTGTTTTCTAACAATTTCACGCGGTCGTCTTTGGCAGCTGCTCTAGTGGTGTAGTGCATAATAAGGTGCTTGACTGCTAAGCCACTCCTTGGAAGGAAGGTTGGGCAATCTACTTCTGTAGTGATACCACCTCGGAAACCCAAGGAGGGATTGCCGTGAGTTGGGGTCCAGCTCGATGGCAGTGAGTGTTTTTGGTTTTGCCCACTGCAGTGCTTTGATTGCTTGACTGCTGCGTCCATGGGCATAGATTGTGGATCCAACTAAAAAGAAATACCCGACAATTTTACTCTTTTCTCCATTTATTGTGATGTTGCTCATTGATCCGGTTGTGAGGATTTTGTTTTCTTTATGTTGGGGTGTAACCCATACTGAAGGCTGAAGTTTTTGGTATTTATTGGTAAGTGGTTCGAGTCATCTTCACTTTCAGCAAGCAAGGTTGTGTCATCTGCACATCACAGGTTGTTAATGAGTCTTTCTGCAGTCCTGATGTTGCATTCTTCTTTGCATAGTCCGGCTTCGAGGATTATTTGCTCAGCACACAGATTGATTAAGTGTGGTGAAAGGATACGGCCCTGACATTCAGCCTTCCTCATTTTGCACCATGCAGTGTCCCCTTGTTTCATAAGTACAGCTGATAATTGCTTCTCTTTTGAAAGATCTATGTTTTGGAGAGATGAGTGGACTTCTCTGCCTTGTTTGATCTGTCCTGTGGAGTCATTTTGGTGTGCACAGTCTAAACAGGAAGCCTCCACCTGGCCTCTGGGTATTGTCTGTTGCAAATTTGAATTTGCCCTTGCTGCTTTCATCCTCAAATTAACTTGAAAGTACAGATGATGGCCGATGCGTAGTCCTGGAGGGGTGATGGGCAGAGAGCGGCCTCTTTCCTTATGAGGGGCTGTGTAGGTGATTGCACTCAGAGCGACCCCATGTGACAGAGTAGACCTGGCCCATTGGCTGCAGCCTTTGTGAACTCAACTTGTCATAGGCTCGCGGAAGCTGAGCAGTGATTAGGGAGGATTGAGGAAGAAGTGATGCATCTGGTTTGTGGTGTTGGTGTAGAACACTGAGTCTGCCGTGGACTGCCAGAGGCCCAACACATCTGTCTGGGAAGAAGTACAGCCTGAATGCTCCTTAACAAAAGCAAATGTGGTGGGACATGTCTTATGTACTTGGAACGTGTTATCAGGAGGCATCAGTCCCTGGAGAATGGTATTGTCCTTGGTAAAGTAGAGGGTCAGTGAAAGGGGAGCACCTGCAGGGAGACGGGTGGGTGCCGTGGCTGCAGCAGCGGGCCAGGCGACAATTGTGAGGATGGTGCCAGGTCAGGCAGCGTTTTGTCCCGTGTGCGTCGCTCTAAGTCGGGACTGCTGTACGGCTCCTGACAACACAGCCGTCACTCCTTCTTGTGCCAAGGATGGTAGATGGACATCTTGAATTTTGCTTTTTCTGTTTCTCTGACATTTGAAAGACAGTGTGGACAGGATACTTTGGGTGTGTACATGTATTCAAAAGTGATACAGCCAAAAAAAAAAAGGAGGGGGCAGGTTTGCTGGTCCAATAGAGCCTGGTGGAACCTCTGAGACTACGGCCCCAGCTGCCCTTCAGGTCTGGGATTGAACCTATACCTGTGGCTTCCAGCCAAACAATAGACAGGCATAGGAGTTGGACATGTACCTCAGGTAGATAACACACGTTGGAGAGAACAATCATGGGAGAAAGAATGGCTGTGTATGCACAGGGAGACAGCTCAGGGCAGGAGTGCATGGAGGGAAGGACACAGGGAAGAGGTGACTATGGGGAGGAAGTGGGAGGGGAGCAGTTGCATTGTGGGAAGTTGTAGTCAATGTCATGAGACAAAGTGTGTGTGAGGTGCTGTATGGAAAGTGAATTTGCTCTGTAAACTTTGACCCAAATCACAATTGGAAAAAAAAAAAGATACAGCTGTTCATTGATGTTGCCATGAATGGGGTGTTTCTGGAAAGTAACTTAGGAAGTGCTTTTCAAAGCCCGTGTGAAGCTTCCTATTGATTAACCATCACTATTCTAAGATTATAGAAGCCACTCCTCAGAAGGAAGGTGGGGCAGTCTACTCCCATAGAGATACTGCCTGGGAAACCCAAGGAGGGGTCGTTATGAGTCAGATCTGACCAGACGGCAGTGAGTTTATTTTTTTTTTGTTTTGGTGGCACGGTGGTTAAGTGTTTGGCTGCCAACCAAAAGGTCAGGGGTTTGACCCCACCAGCTGCTGCATGGGAGAAAGATGAGGCAGTCGGCTTCTAGAAAGATTACAGCCTTGGAAAGGGGCAGTTCTGCTCTGTCCTGTCCAGTCACTATGAGTCGAAATTGACTCAGTGATTCATTTATGTTTGCAGCTAGTGATGACGTATTTGTCGTTGTTATGTGCTGTCAAGTGGGACTCAACTCATAGCGACCCCTCCTTGGGTTTCCGAGGCAGTATCACTGTGGAAGTAGATTGCCCCATCTTCCTTCCGAGGAGTGGCTGGTGGGTTTGAACCGTCAGCCTTCTGGTTAGCAGTCAAGTGCCTTAACCACTATGCTACCAGAGCTCAGGTGATGAAATGATGCTTGGGATTATGTATCCTGTAAGCAAATTTTTGAGTTTCAGCTTTGGTGTTGCACTTCAGACTACAGATGACGTTCATGTGCATATGGGAATCTTTCTCATTCATGTTTTTTTCCTCCAGTGTGCTATCCTTTCCCCGGCTTTCAAGGTTAGAGAATTTTCCGTCACTGATGCAGTTCCTTTTCCAATATCTCTGGTCTGGAACCATGACTCAGAGGACACAGAAGGGTAGGTAGCAGCCACTATTTTAATATAAAGACGTAAGGTTAGCAAATTGTTTTTAGAGTATGTGAGTATCCTTGCAGCAACTCGGTGTATAAAATGTCTGTCTGGCTCAGGGACTGTCTTGTGAGGGGGAGGTCGTGAGTTCATGGCGTCTTTGTCTCTCTCTCGCGCATGACTGAGAACTCTCCAAGTCCTGACCGTCCTCTCCTGCTTCTCTCCTCTCCAGCGCACATGAGGTGTTTAGCCGAAACCATCCTGCCCCTTTCTCCAAAGTCCTCACCTTCTTCCGAAGAGGACCTTTCGAGCTGGAAGCTTTCTACTCGGATCCTCAAGGAGTCCCATATCCAGAGGCAAAAATCGGTAATGGGCTCACGCTGCCGCTTGTTCTCGTCGTTAGAAAGACCACTTATTGTTCAGTGTACCAATTGAGACTGTTCTTAGTCTGCGCGGTGCCAAGTAGGACAGAATTCCACACGAAAGCCTCGTTCTATTTGGTTAATGGTTGGAGAAGTTGCCTTCAGGTTGTTGATGAGGGGAAGGGCCTTGAGATGGTAGCATGTGCTCGTCCTGTTAGCTGAGTCTGTGTGGTCAGGGAGTGTCGGGCTGGGCCTCTGTAGGCACCGTCTCCGTGCAGACGTCCATCCCCTTCTTAATACTAACCTGCCCTCTGCTGAACTCTACCTGGCAGTCTGTTTACTGTCACTGGGTGGGAGGGCTGCAGGCTCCTCCTTCCATGATGGTGTCTGTCCTTGGCTGTGGGTGACATTTGCCGATACTGTTGGGTCTTTCCAACTCCTTCCTGCCCCACGCATTTTTCATTAAGAGCATTTGGAGAAGTACACCTTGATTACTTGTTTTCTTTCCTCCTGGTAGCACAGTGGTTAAGTGCTCAGTTGCTAACCAAAAGAGTGGTAGTTTAAATTCACCCAGTGACTCTGTGGGAGAAAGATCTACTTTGCTTCCATAAAAATGACAGCCTTGGAAACCCTATGGGGGCAGTTCTACTCTGTCCTCTAGGGGTGCTGTGAGTCAGAATCCACTGCATGGCATTGGGTTTGGTTTGAGCTTTGCTTCTGTAAAGGTGACAGTCTTGGAAACCCTATGGGGCAGTTCCATTCTGTCCTCTAGGGGCGCTGTGGGTCAGAATGGACTCCACGGCAGTGGGTGTGGTTTGGGCTTTGCTTCTGTGAAGATTGACAGCCTTGGAAACCCTCTAGGGCAGTTTCCCTCTGTCCTCTGTTCTCTAGGGGCGCTGTGAGTTGCAATGGGCTCAACAGTACCCAGCGACCACATGTATGGACTGGATGTTCTGATCTAGAGATTTTCTTTCTTTTTTTTTTAATTTTCTTTTTAAAAGAGTTTTTATGAATTTGTTGGTATAGGAAGTTTAGTTTGAGACATGATAGCATATGGACTGTTGGGATAGGTTGGAGCCTGCATTATTTTTCCATTGTGCTGAGGGTGACATTCACACTTCTCAGCACAGCATCTAGTTTTTTACATCGTCACCACAACTGAAGAGTGAGTGTCTGCCCACCCACTCTCCTGAATGTTCACAGGACTCTGGACACAATGCTGCTTCTGTGAGTGGCTCTCCCGGCAGTTGTTTCCCAAACCAAGCATCTGATACTTAATATCGTCTGGGTCCAACGTCTCTGTCACTGAGCTGGCAATCAGTTCTCCAGCCTTCCTAGTGTGGGCAGGACCTTGATAACCAGGTGGTTAAGCCCCACATAGTGCTTTTCACATCACAGGTTCAGATCCCAGGCCTCTGAGATCCAGCCATTTCTGTGGGTAGAGATGAAAGCCAACCTCTGGGTTGTAGGCACTGGGTTCGGTAGTACACGTTCATACTAAATATTCAGTCTTCAGAGACATAGTTAGGTGAGTGACATGCAGCAGGTCACCTCGCTGGGAAGTGGAGCACATGCTGGGTCCCCGGTCAAGCTCAGACAGTCTAGTCCAGTCGGCCCTCCTGACGCTGCTCCGTGGCGCAGTCGTCTTGTGCGTTGACTCAGGCTTCAGCCCGCTCCCCCAGAAGATCCAGTGCGGTGTTGCCGGTACTCAGTCCGCAGCAGCGCTCAGGGATTAAAATGGCAGCGTGCACTTGACGTCACTGCCTTCTCTTTGTTAACTGATTTCCACGTGTGTGTCCACAGTTGAAGAAATGGGAGCAGGAGGCAGGGACTGCCTTCCATCGGTGCCTTACACACGGCATGTCCCTAGAAATGCTCAGACAAGACTGTCTAGAGTGCCCATGCCTGTGAGGGTTTTACATCCCACTGAGACTGAGGGGTAGCGAGGTGTGCCATATGCCGATTACAGGTAACACAGGTGTGCTGTCTGCTGATGGTGGGTAGCACAGGTGTGCCGTACGCCGATGATGGGTAGCACAGACGTGCTGTATGCTGATGGTGGGTAGCACAGGTGTGCTGTATGCCGATTATAGGTAGCACAGGTGTGCTGTCTGCTGATGGCAGGTAGCACAGACATGCTGTCTGCCGATTACAGGTAGCAGAGATTTGCTGTATGCTGATGGTGGGTAGCACAGGTGTGCTGTACGCTGACTGTGGGTAGCACAGACATGCGGTATGCTGATGGTGGAGAGCACAGGCGTACACGGAGTTGGATGAATGGGTGTGATGCACCCGGTTGATGACAGCAGACTGCCGACTGCTGATGACACGCAGCACGGGTGAGCTGTACGCTCGGCACTATCTCTGAGAGGCTCTGTTGAGAGGGTGTTAAGGATTGGCAACAAGACATGTGGGTAGGGACCAGCGCAGAGATTCTGGAATGTGGGAGGCTTCCGTGGTTATTCCTAGTCCTTGTGTCTTAGCTACCCCCTGCTGCCCCCCGGAGCTGGGTGTGGTCTGGAGCCCCTTCTGAAGGGGCTGCTCTCTTGCTGTCCTAGGGCGCTTTGTGGTTCAGAACGTCTCTGCGCAGAAAGACGGAGAAAAGTCTAAGGTCAAGGTCAAGGTGCGTGTCAACACCCACGGCATCTTCACCATCTCAACGGCGTCGATGGTGGAGAAGGTCCCCACCGAGGAGAGTGACATGTGCTCTGGTGAGGCAGACACGGAGTGCCCGAATCAGCGGCCCCCAGGCAACCCGGACAGCGAGGTGAGCGCGTGGCGGCCCCGTCGCGTCTGACGGAGGGGGGCAGGGAGGGCTTAAAGTGTGTTTTTCTTCGTTAGAGGTTTAGATCAGAGCTTTGGGGCACGAAGGCGATAGTGTTTGCCAGGAGCACAGTGAGCCACGTCACGGTTCTGCAGGACCACATCTGAGGTCACTGGCCTGTGGTGGTGACAAGCAGGCGCTGTTGCTTTGAACTGGTTTTCATTTGGAGGCATTGACACACAGAGCCATGAAAACACAGCACAAAACCCAGTGGCTGGTGGCACAGCCAGCGAGCGTGGCTGGTTGGTCTCAACCTGTGTGGGAAGAGTGGCCATGGTGTCCCAGAACCTGCTTAGTCGTGTGGACTTGGTTGTAGGGAGGGGCAGGAGGGTATGGCTGCCAGGCTCCTCCATCTTCAGGGACTGAAAAGGGCCAAGTGTCCGGAAGGGCCTGGGCAGGGCTGTAGCTCGTTCTCCTTGGCCAGCAGAGAGTAAGCTCTGAGAGGGGACTTGGGGGACGGTAGAGGTGGTGTGACGAAGGCCCAGGCAGTGCAGGGAGGGGTGGCCCTGTCAGGAACTTGGGCACCGTCCTCAGACGTCACCATGACCGCCCTGACCTTCAGCCTGTCTCCTAAGAGACTTTGGTGGCGCTGAGCTCAGCAGCCAGCATCATGCGTGCTCTCCCTCGACTACAGGAGGCATCGTGTCGGCTGTCCCCACGTTGTGGATGGCGATGTCTGTCACGAGTGCCTTGTTTGCAAATGTCCGCGGTGTCTGCCTGACTATGTTAAAGCTCAGAAAGAAGAACATGGAAAACGTGAGGGTGGGCAGGAAGGGGGGCTTTGAGCATTTCCGACTTCTCCTGAGATGGGGAAGCTAACAGCCAGCACAGGAGACTGGGGCCTGGGAGCTGCTGAAACGAAAACTGGAGACCTCTGAGGGCCCCTGTTGGACTAGTCCTTTCGGCGCGCGTTCAGTCAGGATTGTTAGTGTGCAGCGTAAGAGCTGCTCCAGGTCCTGAGGCCTGTGTGCGGCACAGGAAGAGAGTGGAGACAGCGTCTGGAGGCTCTCGAGCTGAAATGACCCCCAAAGACCTATGATTGGTGGGTGACGACAGGGACTGTTGAGTGAGTTGAATGGAGCTGGGTCAAGATGCACAGTGGCTGCTGGTGACATTATGTTTTGGCACCTTGTTTCGGGGAAAGCGGCCTGGGATGGTAACCTGTTCCCTGTGCTTTGGAGGGTCATGTCTGTATGCCGTGAGACGATGGTTTCTCACAGGCAGTGCTTGACTGGCACCATGTCAGTCTGGTACCTCCTCGTGTGATTAACAATGTCCTTCGAAGCATTTCTTCCAGGTTAAAGGTTTTCAGAAGTCCTTGAGTATTTTATGTCCTTGGATCCAGTCCCCTTTTGCCCCTTGTAGGACTTGCAGAATCGGGTTGTGCGCTATGTAAATGTGTGCAGTTCACCTACTTTCTACATCCTTTGTGCCTGGGCTTTTATTTCAGAAAAACATCCAGCCCGAGAGCGGTGACGCTGGAACACAGCCCCAGGTACAAACTGATGGCCACCAAACCTCCCAGTCTCCCCCTCCACCTGAACTTACCTCAGAAGAAAACAAAATCCCTGATGCTGACAAAGTGAGTGATCTTCTAGTTCCTTCCGTTAGACTGTGTTGCACCGCGCGATCGCGAATGTCGTGGAGTCCGCAGTTTCTCAAGAGCGAGCCCCAAGCCAACCCGTGTAGAGCGTGTTTCCGTTAATTTTCTGTGTCCTTCGACCGAGACCAATTAGAGATACTCACGCTCGACTAACCTGCCGCTGCGAGTGCAGCACTTCCCTTGAGTAACTGCCGCTCTGAGCACCGAGGCCGCAGTGTGTGCCAATGCTGGGGCGGAAATAGACGCACCCCGCGCTCTGCGATGCGCTTTCACGTGAAGTTGGTGATTAAACACGTGGGCTTAGGAGTCCAGGGAGCTTTTTTCCCTCAAGCTCTTGAGATACGTTACCTGTCAAACACAAGTTTATCAGGACCACGTGGCAACCACTGGATTACATATAAACGTAATTTTTGTGCTTCTCTCACAGTACATGTCAGAAGCAAAATAAAGTAGCACTGCTGTGTCCTTTGAGAAACAGTGGCCCCAGCTGAGCCTTTGCAACAGCTCGGATGGGTGTTTGGGGTGTTTCTGTGATCCCTTCAGCTCACCTGTGCTTTGCCAAAGTCAGTTCTCTATGGGACATGCCTGTAAATTATTGACCTGTCCCTTGGCAGCTTTGTTTTCTTGGATGAATTGCAGAATTGTTCGTTGGGGTTAGAGAAGGCCGTTACCAGGTAGCGGGGCTCCAGGCTGCACCGACCCAGGCTGGGACCACCCTGTGGGGTCCCACCTGTGATTTCTGAGAGGTCCTGGGACGTGTCCTGTTGGGGGCGGGGCGGGTGACGGCGGAGTGCTGCTTTCCTTGCAGATGATAGGTCTTGACTTGCTTGGGATCTTGCTGAGTGCTGTGGCATTGGTGCGCAGGCTCTGTTGCGGGGTGGGGTCCCACCTTCTTGGGCACAGGTTGGGCATTACGCCCTTTCAAGTCTTGTCGCGTGTGCCATGGGGGGGTCTTCGTCAGATGCTACTGTGTAAAGCCTTGGTTCTCACAGTAGCTGGCCTGTCAGGTAGCCTCGTCCTGACCTAGCTGCTGTACGTGCCATGTCACCGGTTTGTCCCACAAGTCTTTTGCCCACCGTGGTTCGCTGGCTGTGGCTGCTGTCTGATTCGTCTGTCTGTCTGTGGAGCATGCACCTTGTGTTGGCGGGAAAGACAGGTGCTCGGGTTCCCATGTGCTCAGTGGAGAAGCGCGGGGCCTTCAGCAGTGTAGTTGTCGCTGCGGTTGGCACACGTCACACACCTCACAGCCGTGACATCTCGCCTGGGAACCTTTCTCTGACTTTGTCGTGTCAGGTGAGACAGTCCCCTTTCAGGTCCTGGTTTCTTCCCTGAGATGATGGAATTTGAGCAGCCTTAATTGCTGGCAAGTCGACTCTGACTCGTGGTGCCCCAGAGGAGAGAGGAGACCTACTCTCTGGGGTCTCCAAGGTTGCCAGGCTCTGCGGAAGCTGACTGCCTCATCTTCCTGCGGGGCGGCTGGTGGGTTCCCGCCTCTGACCTTCCTGTTAGCGGCTGAGCGCTTCAGCAGCCCCAGGTTATGCTGGGACTGATTTTTGTGCCTTATGTCTTCCCTCTTACTGTCCCAGTGGATCTGAACATGGCGTGCCTCAGAGACCGTCTCGTCTTTGGGAACAGCTGAGTCTTCCGAGTTGTGTTCTTTGTCATTTGTATGAGCAGGAGCCTGCGGACGTGGACAGGCACAGAGAAGGCTTGGAGATTAAAGGCTATGGGAGAACTGCTTTAGCCCCGAGTTTACATAGGTTTAAAAGTTCACAGTGATTTTTTACCATTTGCTACTTGCTGTTTCCAAGGCTTAGCTTATTACCTCACAAGAAATGACCTCCCTTGAAATAAAGGCAGAGGGTAGGAACAAGGAGAACTGCACACAGGTGTGCGTACACAGAGGTCAGAGGCAGTAGGAAGCGTTAGAGGCACGCAGTAGTGTGTGGAGCTGGTCGTCATAAAGGGGTCGTCCCGGGATGTAGGGAGCACATGTGCATATGGCAGGAGGCGGTGGGTCCTGACATGTTTACCTTGGTCAGAGTCAAGCTTAGGTTACCGTCCCATTGCAGACTTCAAAGATGTGGAAAGTCACGAACACGCTTAAAGGCATTAAGAAGCACAGGCATATGAAAGAATGACTTGAGGGTGAGAGGCTGTATTCTGCGTTTCACGTGTGGGAAATTGTGGCATGTTTCAGATGACCCGCAGCCCTGAGTTAAAGGTGGCAGGTGGAATCAACAACCTTGAATCTATACATCTTCCAGCTGCGCAATGTTAGGATTTTAGTTTGGTCTAATCATCAGTAGGTGTGATAGGGATATCGTTGGGTTTTTTCCTCCAAGAATTATTTAACCATTCTCACTCCTCTTCTTTTTTTTTTCCCCACCCTCTAAGGCAAATGAGAAGAAAGTTGACCAGCCTCCCGAAGCTAAAAAACCTAAAATTAAGGTGGTGAACGTTGAGCTGCCCATTGAAGCCAACTTGGTGTGGCAGTTAGGGAAGGACCTCCTTAACATGTACATTGAGACGGAGGTAAGTGCGTCGTGGACAGCTCTGCCCTCAGACCATGCGGCACTGCTCAGCCCTGTTAGGCGTGTTTCTGATAGGTAAACGGCTAGGGTTGTCCTTCTTTCCCATGTGCCAAGTCATGTACAGCTTAACGGGTAAGATGGAGCCAAACGAAGGCACCTTCCAGTTAAGCTTTTTGACAGACTTTGTTAGGGCTCTGTGCCCTAGATGGTTCTGTTTGGTATAAGATGGATGGTCCGAGCTCTTGTACAGACATTGAAGGTTGGCACCCTGTGGCTGAGAGCACGGTATAGTTGGGAATTTCAGAACATAGGAAATGTTGTGAAAACGTGCCTTTTTTTTGTGGTAGTCTGAAATTCTAGACTGATAGGGAAGGCCGGTGAGATTGGCTTTTCCTTTGCTGACATGGAATCTGTGCTCAGGGAGGTTTCTCATGGTTTTATCTTGGAGTGAGTTTATCTTTGAGACATGGTGGTGTAGTTCTGAGCAGACGCACTGGCCAGTGGTGAACCCGCCTGAGATAGGCAGAGTACGTGCAGGCGTGGGCATTGTGCACCAGCCATCGGTGGATGTTTCTTTTCCTTCCCCTTTTGCAGTATTAAATGTGAAAACTGTTAATACATTGTATAATGTTTAAAAAACATCACAAAAGGCTTTGTGGAGTTTGATGGGGTAACATCAGAACTGTTGGTACACTTCGGGTGTGTAATCACTGATTGGCTAACAGCAGAGTCTGAAGAGTTAGAATTTAGTTGGAGACAGGAGGAGCTGCCAATGTGCTTTGTCTCCTTCCCCCCCAGGGTAAGATGATCATGCAGGACAAGCTGGAAAAGGAGAGGAACGACGCCAAGAACGCGGTGGAGGAGTGCGTGTACGAGTTCAGGGACAGGCTCTGCGGGCCGTACGCGGGCTTCCTCCGCCAGCAGGTGGGTCTCCACAGCTCTGCTGCTGTCCACGTGGCCTCGCACAAGGTGTTCAGCGTCAGGTTTGTTGTCGATGCCTGGCTACAGATTAGGTAACTTGAACCTCCAAACAAAGGCATTTGAGAATACAAATCGTATACAACAAAGTTGAGGGAAAGAAACTCATGGGCAGTGGGCTTTTCAGTCGTCACCTTCCAGAAGAGATGGCCCATCAGCCATGCTCTCGGTGTTATCACAGTTACGGAGGCCAGGAGATGAGTAGGAGACACAGCCTGTCGGACGTCCCTCGTGTCTGAGACCAGAAGATGAGTAGGAACAGCTCATCAACCAGACCCTTGGCGTCTGTGATCACAGTTACAGAACTGGAAGAGCACTAAGATGTTAGGTTTAGAGCCTCAGCCCCCTGATGACCCCCATCCAAAGACTGCTCATCCTGTTGGTCCTGACTTCGTCGCACTCCGCATTCCCCTCAGCCCTGACTCTCGACTCCTAGTGTCGGTCTCTGAGTCAGTCCCAGAAGCACAACTCTGAAAGATGGGACTTGAGGGGGGGTGGCTAGATAGAAATCTAGAAGGATTTTAGGGATTGGTTTTGAACGTCAAGGTCATTAACACTTGGCCTGTGTTAGTCCCGAGATCCTTGGGCTCCCTTGTAATAGACTGGAGTTCTCAGCTCTGCTCTAGTGTTTCCTGTGTTTCTTACTGTGGGGATTCTGCAGTAGGGGTTAGACCCTACACCAGGTTAGACCCTGCCCAGGCTAGAGTTGGAAGCAGGTCCCATGTATGGCTTGGGGAGGAATGGTGTTTCCATGTGCTCAGTGATGAACTGTCGAATGGTGTGGCTGCCCTTTCGGTCTTCAACAGTCATGAAAGAGGGTGGACAGGTGCTACTCAAGACCATTGTTAGGGACACACGGCTTAGTGGTGAAGAACAAGTGACTTCATCCCAGAATCTTTCAGAAGGTGTGTGATAAGACCACACAGCAAAGTGTAGCTGCCAGCCCCTCATGTAAAGTAGTGTGGGGCCAATAAATAGTCCCATGCTTGTTGCTCCCTGAAGCTGTTCAGTGAAGGCAGACCAGCCGCCAGTGCCTTCCAACCAGCACCGCCTGGGCAGGTGTGTCCATGGCGACTGCTGTAGTCTAGCCATCTGACGGATGCCATGATTGGGTGTGTCCATGGGGACTACAGCTGTGTCCCCACAGCTGTGTGAAGTAAACTCATTAGCTTCATACTTTGTTGTGAAGTTGGCCGTGTTTTCTTGATGGTCATGTTTTCCTCTGTAGGACCATCAGAGTTTCCTGAGACTCCTCACCGAGACTGAAGACTGGCTGTATGAAGAAGGAGAAGACCAGTCGAAACAAGCCTATGTGGACAAGTTGGAAGAATTAATGGTAGGATGGACACACCCCCTTGTCCGCCTGCCCACCTCATTCCCTGGTGCTGCCCTAACAAATTTCACAAATAGGTGGCTTTAACAAACAAATGTGTCCTGTCACAGTGGAGGCTAGAAGTCCGAATTCAGGCCATCAGCTCTAGAGGAAGGCTTCTCTGTGAGGCCTGTCTCCTTTTACACCTCTGTGGGCCTGCTGTTCCTTAAGACATCCCATGTGTCTTGCCATCACTCTTCTGGGTCTAGCAGGTTCTCAGTGCAGGGACATCAGGTCCAAGGGACACAGTTCACTCCTGGCTCTTTCTGGGTAGTAGTGAAGTCCCTCTCCTCTGCTCCTCTTTCCTTTCATCTCTTACAAGATAAAGCAAGACTCTAGGAAGGGTGTGAGTTGAGTAAGGGTGGTAACTCAGGATACACCTCACACCGTCCTGCCTCATTAACACACACAGGTCAGGATTTGCAGGACATCACAAAACAGAGGACGACTGGATAATGGAAACAGCCACACAGCCACACATACTGGGAATCTTGGCCTAGCCAAGGTGACACATGTTTTAGGGGAAACATTTAAATCCCCGACATATACACACACAAAAAAACCAAAAAAAAACAGTAACTGTGCCTTCGACCATTCCTGCTGTTAGGGACCGCTGAGTCAATTCCAATTTCATGGCGACCCCACGTGACAGTGGAGCTGCCCCACGGTGTTTCCTCAGCTGCCATCTTCATGAGAGAGATGCCCGGCCTTTCCCATGGAGCACGGGATGGGTTTGAACTGCTGACCTTTTGGTCAGCAGTCAAGCACTTGGCACTTAACTGTTCGTGCTTCAGGGCTCTGAGAGTATGGACTTTTAAAATAGGAAGGCTGTTAATGTATTACATTTTGTTTTAGAAAATCGGCACTCCAGTTAAACTCCGGTTCCAAGAAGCTGAAGAACGGCCCAAAGTATTTGAAGAACTAGGACAGCGGCTGCAGCACTACGCCAAGATGGCGGCCGACTTCCGGAGCAAGGTCAGTTGCGCACGGCGTGCGGAAGCGCCTGGGTCCAGTGAGCTGGGGGCTGTTAAATCGATGGTTCTGTGCGGTGACCGTGCTCTCCCCATCAGGATGAGAAGTACAACCATATCGATGAGTCTGAAATGAGGAAGGTCGAGAAGTCAGTCAACGAGGTGATGGAGTGGATGAACGATGTCATGAACGCTCAGGCTAAACAGAGTCTTGATCAGGACCCCGTCGTACGCGTTCAAGAGATTAAAGCGAAGATACAGGTGCGTGTGACCATCTGATACTTAGTGCTGTGTTTGTTGTATACTGAAGTCAGGCATTTGAGCTTTAAACAATAGACCTTTTCCTATAAATCTTTTACTTCAGCTGGACTTAGATCGTGCTGCCGAGTTCATCACTACTGTCCCAGAAGTTTGCTGCGTTTGCTCGTATTCCTTCTGTTAAACAAATGTGTTGCATGCCTTCCCTGTGCCACTGTTCTGGGGGTCAGACATGCAAGTTACAGAGTGAAGTCCCTGCCCAGTGGAAGTAACATTCTAGTGGGAAAGAGTTACACTGGACAAGTGCACATACCCAGTCACCATGTTGTCAGGAGCGGGTGAACGGGGAGGAGGAAGTTCTGGGCAGCGGGCAGAGCCGGGGTGTTTCATCAGGGAAGGCCTTGTAGAGTGTGCAGGCCTAGGAGGAGGCTGGGAAGATGTACAGAAGCATTCAGGCACACTAAAGGTTAATAGAAGGAAGAGTGGCTGAGAGTTTGAATTCCAGCTCTTTGCTCATTAGTTTTGTGATCTTGAGGTTACTCTACTTCTTGGTGACATTTTGTTCTTTTATAAAGTATAGATGACAATCCCTACTTTTAATATTGTCAAAAGGAGCTCTGGTAGCATAGTGGGTAAAGCATTTGGCTGCTAACCAGAAGGTCAGTGGTTCAAACCCACTAGCTGCTTCATGGAAGGAAGATGAGGCAATCTGTCTACTTCCATAAAGATTTACAGCCTTGGAAACCCAGCGGGGGTCACTGTGAGTCGGAATCCACTCAGTGGCAGTGGGTGATATTATCCTGAGGATTAAGTAATGTGAGGTACTTACGAGTACTTGGCAAGTCTAACACATCATAGTCTTGTCTTCTGAGCTGGCTTCAAGCTGTGGTTTTGGACGAATTGATGAGAAGATGGAACTGGTTGACACATGTGTAGTTGGAGTTGGTGGCGTGGGGTAAACAGTTGAGGATGACCTGGGTAGGTGAACCTCTCCGCTCATCTGACAGCCGGTCTGCCTGTCTTCTCAGGAATTGAACAATACCTGTGAGCCCGTCGTCACCCAGCCCAAACCGAAAATCGAATCGCCCAAACTGGAAAGGACGCCTAACGGCCCCAGTGCAGAAAACAAGGACGAGGATGTGGAAAGCAAGAATAGCTTTGGCGCTGACCCTCCACATCAGAACGGTGACTGTTATGCCAACGAGAAGACATCCGTCAACATGGACTTGGACTAGGTGCTGCGGGATCCCGTGTTTTTTGCCGTAGTTCGTGATTCCACGTAGCAAACCGATACTATTTATATTTTCTTTTTTAAAAATGTGTAGAAATTTTGTGTATTATATGGAAAAAGAAAATGTCTGTAGTCTTATGATCCTAAAAGGGAAAATTGCCTGGTAACTGAGATTCCTGTGGAATTGTGACTCCATACCAAGCTTCTCTGCAGCATCACCGTTGGCATCACTGGGGTGGCATTGACCTTTGTCTTTTGGAAGGAAACAGATGCACGCTGTCCTGCGGGTTGGGTTGTGGCTGAGCTGTCGAGCACTTGTCCTGCCGAGGTTGCTTCCTTGCATCTCACTCTCCATTTCAGCATGTGTGTGGGTGTGGGTGTTTATACACAAGACTGTCTGATTCCATAAGGGCTTTCTAAAATGAATTTTCTCCAATAGCGTACAACTTTTTGCTTTGATAATTAAAAATGCAGTGCGTAAAGCAGAAGCTAGTGAAATGTGTAAGCAGCATGCAAAACAAAAACCCTCCAGCTCTCTCGCTGCCCCATTCATTGTCATGTGAAGGGGTGGACGTGGGGCGCTGTCCTGTTGTACCTGGGGTCGTGGGCCTTCTTTGAGCTTTAAAATAAAGTTCATCGTATGGTGTCATTTCTAAACTGGTGGTTTCGTCACTTAAATTGGGACTTTGGGGAGGGAAGGAAATCATACTACGTCCGTGAAGTTCCTTTTTCTGAAAACTCAGTCCTCCTTTTTTACTACACCTTGTAATGTGTTACCTCTTCTAAATGAAAATGGCTCTTCCCTGATGATGATGTCACTTGTCGAGTTGGTTCCAACTCAGCAACACGGCACACACACACACACACCCCGGTGCACAGCAGCACGGGACACTGCACCGTCCTCAGTCCTTGCCAGGCTGGAGCCCATCCTCACAGCAGTGACAGTCCTTTCCTGAAAGAGAAGCACCGTGTGCTCAGGAAGTTAAAACATGTACAGTGACTAGAACTTAATTCCAGCACCCAGAGAAGACCGTTGTAACACCTTAATACTTAACCCTTCAAAATATTTTCCTAAGATGGGTGTGTGTGTGTGTGTGTGTCTGACCCGGTTTTGTAGCCTGTTGTTTTTTAGTTCTGTATACCAGGCAGATTGTCAGTCAACACAGGTGCTGTAATTGTGTGTCTGCACCGAGTTCCTCTGTAAAGGCCGCCTTGGCATTTGAACCAGCCTGACTTGGGATGGATTTGTGTTTCTCGAGTCTTTGCTTTCTAAACACCTCAGTGAGTGCTTTGGATTATTTTCTCAGGATGGCATTGTAGTGATGGGGGTGGGTGGGGGGAGGAACGACCCCTGGAGACAGCTGACGGCCCACGCGGCCCGCTGTTGGAGCGGCGCATGCTCCTTTCGCCGCCCTGCCGCTCTGCTTCCTGCTGCAGGGGCGTTGACCTTGACCCTTGCCATATCCGGCAGGATGCTAGTCAGCTTCTGTGGGCCAGGCACATAACACAGTGAGTAGGTGTCATTCTCAGAACCACCTCTGAAGATAAAGGGATCTGTCCGAGCTGATAGAGGGGTGCCAGCGTCAGGAAACACCCCACTGTCATGGTGCTCAACTGCTCAACCACTACAGTCGGCTGCTTTCTGCACATTAACACCTGGTCACCAGCTACTCTCCACGGCTAGATGTTGGGTGTGCGTTTTGACTTCATAAATCATATTTCATTTATCTTCCTCTTAGTGGTTGTATGTTGAGTGTAAATAAAAGGCTTCTGTTCAGAATCTTCATGGTTGGTCGGGTGGCCAACTTGTTCCCAGTTAGTAATTTTAAATGTACTATTTATTACAAAGTTAAAAATTTCAGGTAGTTGATTAAGGTTTATTTTTTCCTCCCCCTTGTAAATGGGAATGGGAAAGCAGCATTTCTTCTACACTGATATAGTCACTGATGACAGGGGCTGGTGGGCTCCAGGCTGGCCTAACAACCCAAACCAAAAAAAAAAAACAAACTCACTGCCATCGAGTTGATTCTGACTCATAGTGACCCCCTTTAGGTTTCTGAGGCAGTAAATACTTACAGAAGTAAATTGCCCAGTCATCGTTCAGCAGAGTGGCTGATGGATTTGAATCGCCAACCTTCTGGTCAAGTGCTTTAGGCACTACACCGAACCCCAGTCTGCTTGAATTAAACGTTAGAAATTTTCAGTAACATCGCTGTTTCTGTGAAGACTCTGTGTGTGTGTGTGTGTGTGTGTGTGTAAACCTCAGCTTACCTGGCACAGTTCACCTCAGCAGTGTGCTTTTGGATGTAGGAAAATACACAGCCCTTTGGATTACTTTATAAAAACTATCTTATTGTTAACGTAAATATTGTGGAAAGTACCTAGTAATTGCCTAGAATCCCTGGGGCAGGGACCACGTTGAATAAGTCTCTGGTTTACAAAGGATTGGGTTGTGTATTTAATTTTCACCTTCACTTTTTGGATAATAGTTCTAAAAACTGAAGATTCTAGGCATCGCTGGTGAACAGGGTTGAGGCGGGAGCCCGGCGCCTTCCTTATGGTGCCTGCAATCTGAGCAATGACCAACCTGCTTCGAGTGGGAGAGTCCCCACGCCTCCTCACTGTTGACTGTTGTGTCCTCATCAGGAAGCATGTGGCTTACGTCATTGTGTGTAACTAGACCTGTGCGCCGTGGCCTGTGAAAGGTCCTTAACGAAAGGCCAACAAACCAACTGAGCTACTGGGATTACTGATTGATCCTGGTCAGAACCATGGCAATGTTTTTCTGCACCATTTGCACCTGTTGGTTGATAGCCGCCATTCAGGAACGCTGGCGGTGCAACGATTAAGCATGTGGCTGCCAACAAGAAGGTGGTTGGAACCTACCTGCGGTTCCACAGGCAGACCTGGCAATGGGCTTCCATTCAGAACACAGGAGAATCCAGGAGTCCCAGGGGGCCTGCCAACACTCGGGCCTGTGGTGTCTGATGGTTGTGGAGGACTCTGATGATCATAGATGTTGGGGACACGCCTTAAAGGCAGTTTTAGGAATAAGCACAAAACAATTCTGTCCTCTTTTCCTGGGGAGAACGTGTCTTCAATACTTGAAGAGAGATGTTGACTTCCCCGCGTGTTGAACCGGTAACAGTGGGGCCCCACCTAGAGGTCAGGCTGGGCAGCCGGAGGTGGCGGCTTTGGCAGAACTCTGGTCCTCACAGGGATCCAGCGCGGTCAGCCCTGGGGTCATCTGTGCTTCAGAACTCAGTGACAGCAACAGCCAAAACTAGCTGGAACAGGGAGACAGCTCAGGGGGCAGGAGTGCGTGGAGGGATGGACACTGGGAAGAGGTAACTATGGGAGGAAGTGGGAGGGGAGCTGTTGCATTGTGGGAAACTGTGGTGAATGACATGAGACAAAGTAATGTGAACTGCTGTATGGCAAGTGAATTTGCTCTGTAAATCTTCACCCAAATAAAAAAAAAATAATAAAATAAACTAGCTGGAATCTGTGTGAGCATGTGGCTTGTAACTAGTGGAAATGTGTCACGTTTGGAAGTGTTAGGATAATCAGCTCTTCTGGTCACGAGTGGTTTTAAGGCACCCTGGTGGTGCAGTGGTTAAAGCACTCGACTGCCAACCAAAAGGTTGGTGGTTTGAACCCACCCAGCAGCTCCATGGTAGAAAGATGTGGCAGTCAGCTTCTGTCAAGATGACAGCCTTGAAAATCCTCTGGGACAGTTCCGCTGTCTCCTAGGGGCGCTGTGAGTCAGGCTAGAAAGCACCCAACAATAACCAAACCAAAAACCAAACTCACTGCCATTGAGTCCATTCCAACTGATAGCAACCCCCATTGGGCTTCCGAGGCTGTAAATCTTTATGGAAGCAGATCACCCCATCTTCTTTCCGCTGAACAGGTGGCAGATTTGAACCACTGACCTCCTGGTCAGCAGCCAAACGCCTTACCCACTACGCCACCAGAGCTGCTTCCCAACAGTAACAGTGGTTTTATTTTGTCAGAACTGTGCTGTGGTGGTGGTGGTGTTGTTTTTGCCGTCGAGTCGGCCCCGACTCATAGCGACCCCTCCTTGGGTTTCCGAGGCAGTATCACTACGGAAGTAGGATTGCCCAACCTTCCTTCCGAGGAGTGGCTGGTGGGTTTGAACCGCCAGCCTTCTGGTGAGCAGTCAAGTGCCTTAGGCACTAGGCTACCAGAGCTCCTGTGCTGTGGTGTAGGCACTTCTTAACAGTTGTTACTGCTTAAGGACAGGTGGTCAGCACCACAGTTGAGTTGAGTTGTGTTGGCAAAGAATACTGAAAATAGCATGTACTGCCAAGAGAACGAACAAATCTGTCCTGGAAGAAGTGCAGCTAGAGTGCTCCTTAGAGTCAGTGGCCAGACTGCATCTCACCTACTTTGGACATGTTTCCAGGAGGACTACTCCCTGGAGGACGTCATGCTTGGTAGAGTGGTGGGTGAGTGGAAAAGGGGAAAGCCCTCAACGAGATGGACTGACATGGTGGCTGCAGCGATGGGCTCAGGTGTAGCAGGGACCGTGAGGCTGGCACAGGACTGGGCGGGGTTTCATTCTGTCGTACACGGGGTTGCTGTGAGTCGGAGTCAACTTGATGGCACCTAACAACAACGGGTACGTGCAGTCTGCTGTCGCAGAGAGAGCACCTGTTCAGGTGGTACCCAGATGTAGACAAACAGCGGCTCTTGAGAGCAGTCAGCTGCAGCGAGGTAGGGTCCAACTACAGACAGAGGGAATGGTCCACACAGGGCCACCCTCGCTTCTGACACCAACTGCAACTTCTGTGGGAGAGGTTCTCCAAACCACCCTCAGCTCGGATAATCAGCTGGAAGGAGTAAAACTCCCTGACAGCTCAGAGACTCGTGGTTTGTAATTGAGTAATGATGACAGCTGTGACCGGACTGCACTTGAAGGTTCAAAAAGTGAATTAGCATAGAGTGTTAGTCTTGTAGGTGTGTAGATGCATGGAAAAT